CAAGGTTATATACAAGAAAAGGCAAAATGAAAAGCACATTTAACATTTTAGAACCGTCAGTACAGTTCAAGAATTATTTAAATCATTGCAGACAGTTCAACAATTAATTTCTGCTGAGTCATGAACTGTAGAGAATGCCTCTTTAGTTCATTATGTCCTAAAAATATGCTCCTGAAATTCCCTTTGTCCCTTACCCAGTGTTCTCAGGGACTGGAAGAGTGTGACTTCCCAAATGGCAGGGTCCTAAGATCATATAAGAAGTCACCTATTTCGTCTGGTGTTCTTTTACTCAGAATTCATTCCTTAATATGTTCTAAAATGCTCCTAGATTAAGAGACATTGCCGGCCTGTGCATATTCCTAGTTCTCAACTCACGTTTAATTCTCTGTTAATCTACTTTTGTTTTCCTCTGTCTTCAAAGGATGGTACAACAGCATTACTGAAAGCAGCCAACAAAGGGTACAGTGATGTTATAGAGGAGTTGCTGAAATTCTCACCCACCCTTGGTATTTTGAAGGTAAGAGCTAGAGAGAAATCTTGCCAATCTGTAAAAGAAAGAGGTTAGAAATTAAGAAGTCTGTACTTGGGGACTGTAGTAGAGTCTGGGTAAAATTAACACGGTTAGTTGTATCCTTGGGAGAACACACCTACAACTTCTTAATGTTGGAGATTCGTGGGCACTGGTAGAAATGAGAAGGTGGTGAAAAGAATGAACCAGGGTATGTCAGTACCTGGTTTTCCAGGAAGAAAAAAAAAATTAGACAGTAGTAATGAAATTGCTAAGATGGAAAGTCAACATATAGGTATGTGATTGCAAATCCTCCACAAATCTTAAAACATGATTTTTTTGTTCCACAAAACATGGGGGACAGGTGTTCATGTTCCATTCCTTCATTATCTGGAGCAAAGAACCACATTGTTACCTTAGGTGAAATAAAATAAGCCTCCAACATCTGGACACCTCAGAGAATGTTTCATTCTGGGGAGCTGGGTATTCCAGAGAACAGAGCCCCAAAACTCTTTTTAAAGTTTTAATTATTTGGGATTAAAGTATTTCTAAACTATAGTATAAACGAGGGTTGGCAATCTTTTTCAATAAAGAATCAGGTAATAAATATTTTAGGTCTTCCAGGCCGTAAAGTCTTTGTTGCAACTGCTGAACTCTGCCATTGTAGCACAAAATCAGGCATAGAAAATACAAAAAAAAAAAAAAAAAAAAAA